TGTGATGGACGGAACGTTCGGTCAAGTTTGCAATATCGTATATTACACTCCGTGCATAGTGCGGTTTCTAAAAATGCATCGACATTGTTAATAAAATTATTTTAAAGATCTGTAAAATTTGTCAAATTTTGCTAACAATAAAGTTGTCTTGAAATTTTCTGCGAAATTAAAAGTTAAATTTAAAATTTATTAAACATTTTTTAATACTAAACATTTTAATTCTTTAATCAAAAATTTCATGACTTATTAAAAGTTCTCTGAAGAATAAAATTTAAAATAAAAGTGAAATAAAGAAAGAACAATTACTTTAACTACTTATACAATAAAACATGAATTTTAAAAAAATATAAAGTCAAAATAATTATAACTTCTATGTATTAAAAAAAAATAATAATTATATACAAAAGTATTAATGTTATTAATTTAAAATTTATTTTAAATTAATTAGTAAATTGTAAATCATCAAATTTCAATCACGTTTATGGCTTTCTCCTTTAATAAAATTAGGTCAAGAAAGTAATATAAGTCGATAAAAATTTATAATTCATATATTTACTGTCAAAAATCTTTAATAGATATTTGGACTTCTACACACATTATGAAAAACTGAAAACAAGAATAGCATTAATATTAATATAATATCATGTATATATTTATGGATATTAAATTCATTTAAGGATAAATAAGGATTAATATTTATGTATATTTATGTATTATAAATTATGATTTTTGTACTTTTTTATCAAGTATATAAATCTACAATTTTATTTATATCTTTTTTCTAAATATATTCCTGATGTCATCTCAGATTAATTAAATTAATTATGTTAACAAAAAAAACAAGCAAGAAAAATAATAAAACGCATATCATATAATAAAACGTACAGTAAAAAATATAACTAGCAAAAAGAACGGCGAGAAAGTATAAAAAAAAAAAAAATGCTTATTAAATCGAAAGCAAACGAACTTCAATGAGAATTATACCATTCTAGTGTGAAAGTACTTTAATATTTTCGGAATGCTAACGTTATTATGTGCAAGTCGATAAATTTCTCTCGTAATGATAGTACCTATATTAATGATTAACTAATTTTGTAACTGGACATTTTTCTACATCATCGATGCCACCACGCAATCGTAAAAATCAGCCATTCCCCCATAAATGGTGGTCTATGAAAATGTTCAAGAATCCAAAAGGTGAAGGCCTCCACTGTCACTGAAAAAAATGAAATAAGTGATAGGACGAGAAAAAAAAAATAAAAACTTGTCTTCTCTTTCTTTAACTTATCTGTTCATAGACTTGTCTATAAAGTGTTTAAATTAGCATTATCGTATTTGTATTGCAAAAATTAAAACTTAATAAATGATCGATTAAATCAATTTTGTCCTGTTTCGATATTCTTCAGATATATTTCTCAATTCTACTTAAATTGAGGCTAATAATTAAATAGAGTTTTATGATAATACTACACAATTTTTGAATGTATACGTTTGTAATTATATTCTAGAAACGTTAGAATAGAATAGAAAATTACTTTTATTTTTCCTTTCTCTTTTTTTATCTACGCAATTGCTAAAATTGCTAAATTACTGGATTTCATTACACATGATGAGAATCCACATTATATGTAAATACCACATGTATTATTTGCTACGTCAACAAAATAAAACAATACTTATTAAACAATGCAAAAGAAATATTGCAATTTGACGACCTTCTTTTGCAAATTATACAATTGATGAATGCTATAATCTACAATCTAAAATAAACTAGCTAAAATAAAACTTATTGGAGTAATATAAAAATTATTTTTCTTAAATATTGAAAATTTTGTTTATATAAATAATAATTAATCATTAAATTTTGATTAAATATTAAAAATAAAGTCTGTTTTCAATTTAAATAAAACTCACCAAAAGAAAAAAATTGGTTACTGACTTATCTGTTAGAGTAGAATTCTGTAAATCTTCGAATATCATGGCACAAATGCCATCGACCTAGAATTATACATTTCCTAGCATCATTTTACAAGACTACATCTTATGCACGCAATGCATTCTATTTATACAGCTGATTTTAACTTCTGTTACGAAAAGATTTTCTTAACGGTAAATAATCTACGTACCAATTTCTCCAGAACAGAATATATTTAGAATTGAGTTTGAGAATTATTTTCAGTTATCGAATATCTACGATAATTATTTTTGCATATATTTATATATATATAGCTTAAGCAAGTAATAATCAAAATTAATATTGAACGCTAGGAAAAACATGGTGAAAATAAACAACTAAATGGCCGAAACGTCGTGAAAGTATTGAATAAAATTGCTAGTTACGTCGAAATCAATTTGGCCAAGTTTAAGTAATAATCCCTTCTAAATCTATCTTCTCTTTCTAAAAAATATTATATTGACTTGTCGGTTTTCCGCGATGCTAATTGACTGTCTCGATTCGCTTTGTGCGTTATATTCATAGTATCGAGCAACTGTCATCACAAAAATTAATAATTAGTATTTGACAGTTGTTCAAAAATAAAATTACATTAAAAATATTATAATTACTAAAAATTTAATTATTCACATTAAATCGGATAATAGCGCGCGCTTGTGTTTTCTAATAATTAAAAAAAAATAATTAAATATATTTTGTAATTTTTCTTAGAAAATCGTGATGTGTAAAGTAAAACAAATTTTTTTTATTGTATAATAAAAAATATGTAACGAATAATGATTTGATTTTAAAAAATATTTATTTATTAGACATAATTGTGAACCTAATTATATATATTATAAAAATATAAAATTAGACTATAAATAATGACCATTTAAAATTGATAAATACAGAATGTGCTTGCAAAATTTGTATTTTTTATGTTACGATGGTTGAAGGATTAGCTGTTATTGCAACAATTTTGAGATCGTTGCGTAAATTTTTCTAGATCTTTTTATACTTGTGATATTTGTGAATGCATAATTTATTCACATGCGTCACAGTTGCTTGCAATTTTACATTTTTTAAATTATACTAATTTTAAATTATACTTCTCATTTTTATATATATATATATATATATATATATATATATATATATATTGTTATAATATGAGATTATTAAATGTGTTATAAATATTTATATGTTAATATAAATTATTAATTATTCATTTTTGGAGTTATAAGTTTTCACTTTTTATTTTATTTGTAATATGTACGGACACATACAAATCAATATGTTTAATTTTGTAAAATTATTAGAAATTATTTATAAACATTAATCAATTGTGAATTATATTAGAAATTATATGCACGCGCTTGTGTTGTCTAGTAAGATATACAATAGATATTGAATATATAATTAATACACAATGTTGAATAATATATGTATATATATATATATATATATATATATATATATATATACCCAGCTAACCATTTCTGCGGAGGCAAATGTAAATAAAAACTTTTGTTTTGTAAAATAGCCGCAGATAAGAAACATATTTTGTCATTACAAACACTGTGAGCATAAATTCAGTAAATATTTCCCAACATCTGTTAGCAGACTATATTGACAAAGTGGCAATGAGTAGCAAGCAGATCTGTCGAAAGTGTTGACAACAGATTGATGCCAAAAATGCAGCAGATCCTTCAGATCTAGGATTTTTCTTCGATTTGCTGAGCATTTGGTGCAAATCTGTCCTCAATTTACGATTGACAAATCTGTTCCCAGTCTGTCGTCGCACTGTTGACAGATCTGCTCTGGCGTTGCACCTAACTTGATGTTAGGATATACTTTCAACTTTTGATTGCAATTAGAGCGCACTCGAGGACACAGTAGGCCCTGGATTTGCAGCTATATTTGGTCGTATTTTGTTTCCCAATTGTTAACAATTTCCAAGCAAATGGTTAGCTGAGTATATATGTATGTATGTATGTATATATATGTATATAGGTCTTGAAATTGTGAATAAATATATTAAAATTGTACTTGTCATAAAAAATGGAACACACTACAGTTTACAAAGAGCAGTAATGCGCAACAATAAGAACAATTATATTCGGGAACAATTAGTTTCGATATACTGATTATGAATCTATAGTTTCTATTAGAAGCTTTGGCTAAAAACAATAATCAAAACTTGTTTGATAATTATTATAAGCATCTGCCATTTAATAGTAGGAACGCGAAAAAGATACTTTATCTTTTATTGAGCAACGTCCGGCATGAATAACCTTTCCCTATATGTATGTACGTACATACTGATTATAAGCGTGACTACGAACAATTTCTATAATGCTATATTCTACTTTAAAAAATCGTAGAGTAAATTTTTCTATATATGTATATATTCTTTTTATATTTCCATAAAAGTTTAGAAAAATTTATTCTTTATACTTCCATAAAAGTTTACTGGAAAAGTTACAAGTCTTATTTGCAGAAATTAAATAATATGAAAGAATTGTCTTTTATATAATATGTTATATGTTTAATGATAAAACACGATGTACATATATGTAATATCTGAATATTAGATGTTTATACAAAAAAAAATAAAAGTTTCAGAATACTATATATTTCTCTTTGCAAAAATTCAATAATATATTGTATCAAGGTAATTAGATAAAAAGATAAATAAATTGAATAATGACTTCGAAATATTAAGCTGTTTATATATTAATAGTAAAGCAACTTTGTAAAAAAAATTATATTAATTTAAATCCAAATATAGAAATTAATAATACCAACGCCTTGCTATTATCAGCATCACAGTTCGTACCCAGGAAACACCAAATAACTAATTTATAACTGTTAGTTGTAATTTACCACTTACAGTTACATAATAGTTACTTGGGGTTTGTTGCATAGTATTTATTTGCATATAGTAAATTATTAACATGTAAAAACATAATTGAATATGATAAATTAAATTACGAACCTGTTTTAAATATTTAATAACACTTATTGGAATTCCAAATTGCTGAAATCAATCTTTTTTAACGTATCAACATCAAATGCGTGGGGATATACAGTAGTACAATAAAAAGCAGTATGCATGCTTAGAAAGCCGTCAGTCTTCACGTGGTGCGTACTGAAGAAAGATAGAATTAACAGAGAATATTCAAAATAGTCACATAAAATAAACGCTCTAAAACTTCTTCAAATCTACAATATGTAATATTTTATATAATTTGTATCTTTTTTGTATTAAATTAATACATTTTATATACATTCTAATTATATGTGACAATTAATCCAATATGATTTTTTAAACAGTGAAATATATTTCGGTATAATGTGAAAACATTAATTTTTTTCTTAATTTTTAATAACTAATTGAAGTGTCTGTTTTGTAATCGGAAAATACTTTTAAAGAAGAAATTGTTCCGGACGAAAATTCGCTCATATTTCAAGTATTTTTTGGAAAGGGAAGAAAATGTTACAGATTTAATTAGTGTGGTATGTATTATACTTTATAAAATAAATATATGTATATAAAATATACATATCAAATAAAATAATAGAAAAACAGATATGAACTACAATAAAATATAAAAATTACGATACAATATGAGATGTTTTATTTGATTTGTATTCATTTTAAGAAATAAAGAAAATAAAATATCAAAAATGCTTCTTAACATAATTAAATAGTCAAAAGGAAATTAATTAAAAGTCACAAATATATATATATATATATATATATATATATATATATATATTTACACACATTTTATATAATACTTTTAATGTAAAGTAAATTAACTAATTAAAATTAAAGACATTTTTTAATTAAATAGCATAGAATTTGATAAATTGAATGAGACATCTAAAATCAATGTAATTGATATAAATAATTTAATTTATGAACAATTATATAAATATAATTCTTTCTGTGAGAAACTGATAAATAATAACGACTTATACGTAATATACAAATGAAATAGTTAAATAGATTAATAGATGTTAGTTATTTTATTTTGCGTAATATTTTTTTATTCTATAATATTTAATATAATATAACCACGAGTAGTCACCAAGCCTTAAAAAGTGTATGAATAATAATCAAGATCAAGCTCAATGTATACGAGATATATCCCAAGTAGCAAACCGAGGCATTAAACGTCAAAATGACATCATTATATGTCAAAGTAACGTCATTCGACGTCAAAATGACGCACGTTTGCTCTCTCTCTACGTGGGATATGATTACATAAATTAGAAATTTAAATCTTATTTCAAAGCATGATATATTACAATAAAGTGTATAGAATATGTCTATAAAAATGAAATTATAGAAAAATAGGACCAATCAATGAATTGATAATAAAATAATTTTTCTTTAGTCATATTACAACAATTAAACGATTTATATCACTTATTATTATTGTCGGCATTTTAAATAAGTTTTTTATATTTAACACAGATCTACATTTTTATAATAATATTTATGTTTAATACATCTGTTATAATACATTCATATATGTAAATTTTTTAATAATTCTTCATTAGAAAAATATAACTATAACTAATAAAGAAAAAACAAACGATTAAAACGAATATTACATAGGGTGATCAGAATGAGTGTAGCAAACTTTGACAAATTGTTTGGAAGATTATTCTGAGTAAAAAATATTGATAAACATATGGATGCTAATATATATTCAATACTTGCGTAGTAACAAAAAGTGTATAATTTTATTTCTATTAAGAAATCAAAACAAGAAAATATGCAAATATCACAATTCAGTTTTATAATAAATATTCAAAATGTCTTCTTTAAATTTGAAAGCACGTATATACCATAATAAATCAAAGAATCAAGATTATGTAAATAAATGATGTTTGCATATTTTTCTATTTTATTTTGATTTCTCAAAAGTCACTTCCTATACTAAGCAGTGATTTCACTATAAAAATTTCTGTTATTGTATAAATATTAAAATAGCTATGTTTATTTTTTACCCAGAATGACCTCTTAAACAATCACAGAAAAAAACAGTATTCTTGAAAGAATGCAAATATATGCCTTGATTCAAGTATATTTTATCCTTATAATTCTTTTTTTTCTGTGATCTATCAAAGTTTGTTACATTTATTCTGAATCACCCTTTATATATTAAATAATTTCGATCATAGCTAACAATAAGATGTTAATTTTTCACCTCACAATTATGAATTTCTGTAATTATAAAGTATGTGCATCAGCAAACACAGTATATAAATGTTATATACTTAAGCATGTTACATGTAACGTATATGTTAGTTGTAATTTCCTACTCATAGATGAAACATTTTTAATATTACATATATTACATTGTAGTTATATTGTCATTATATCCCAAGATAGCACTGACTTATCAATACATCAATGTGCTATTTGGTATATAATTACAATATAACTACAATGTAATATGTTATATTAAAATGTTACATTTATGAGTGGGAAATTACAACTAACATGGATGTTACATGTAACGTACACGTTATATTACCTGTTATATTCCGTTTTATTATAGCAATGAAACAATTATATATCGGTGTTTGCTTGGATACGACAACGAAATATGAAAATAAAAACTTTTGTACTCGGCTCGAATTATTGTGTTACAATAAAAATAAAATATCGACGGCAATCGGAGCCTGTGCGGATGTCATGCACAAAATTAAAAATTAAAATAAGATCTCAAAACTCATTTATTAAAATCTAAATTTAGATTTTAATAATGAGTTTTACTTGAGATAGCTATGTTTATTTTTTTTACCCAGAATGACCTCTTAAACAATCACAGAAAAAACAGTATTCTTGAAAGAATGCAAATATATGCCTTGATTCAAGTATATTTTATCCTTATAATTCCTTTTTTTCTGTGATCTATCAAAGAAATCTTCTCATTTTAATTTTTAATTTTGTGCATGACATTCGCACAGGCTCCGATTGCCGTCGATATTTTAGAAATATGAAAAGTTTTTTAATGAATTATTATATGTCATAAAACATTTTTTTTAATCAATCTGCTTAAGATAGTCCAAAAAAGAAACATTTAAAATATTAGAGAAAATTTTAAAAATATGTTTATTGCGCCTAATATTTACACCTGGCCCTTAATTTTTTTATACCTGATTTTGTATTTAAGCAAATCAATTATAAATACGCGTATTAATTATCACAAAACCAAATTGCCGCCGATATTATCAAACCACCAAATAGTTTACCAATATTCAAAAACATGTAATTTGATGTTACGTTGATGTTACGTTGATGTTACGGTAATATTATGTAAAGTATAAAACACGCAAAGACAAGATTTAATAGCATTTTGTTCGAATTGCTGATAATTGTTCTTTATGACTAGATTTATGAAAATTAAGCAGATTTATTAAAAATAATTATTTTTATTAATATGCACATTATTTTATTTTATGTATTTTCTAAAATAAAATTAGTTGTTTGCATTCTTATGTAATAGATATTAGATATAATCAACACACATTAATATTCCTTTCATCAATTTTTTTATGTTAATTACGTTATAGTTCTATAACAACTACTTCGTTTTATTGCAAATAAAAAATGTTTCTCACTCTATACCTTCGTCGAAACAATAAACACGATTACGATCAAGTCAGCAAAAAAAAAGGATTACCTTAGCAAATTCTATTGTTCTTACTTTTTTCTTCTTAACATTCAACCTGACATAGTGTGGATATAAATCACATTTTGACATTTATTACTTGAGCAAACATTCGATGACTCACATATAATGACTCATTTTATATGTATAAATTAATTCATTGTAGCACGCCTAAATTGGCCGTTTATTAGAATCAAAAATCTTTTAATAAATTTAAAAATCTATATATATGTAAAAGTCTTAAAATGTAGGATCGCTAAAATATAAAGTATTTCAAAAATAAAATTTCGCGAAATCGATTATTAACCATTAGAAAGCAGCACTGTTTCCCATTATTTTTCTTTTTCTCCTACAGTAGAATTTTCAAATACCAGTCACTTGAGGAAAAACTAGTCAGCGCTGAGATAACTCAAAATAGAAATATATTGCAGCTCGATCGCTGAATGAACAATCCTCACCGTTATACAAGATGGTGCAGCAAAATTCAAATGCAGTAACTGTGAGGAATGCCGTGAAGTATTATACATCAGAGAAACCTATACTCGATGAATTGAACATGACTGTCCCGAGAGGATCCATGTAAGTAATCGCTATTCATTGAATTTATACAAAAGATTAATCGTTTTCTCTATTGAGAGAGTTTTGCTTCAAATCAATTGCAATTAAAGGGTTCTCCAAGAAATGTATTAAAAAAAAAAAACGCTATCGTGTCAGAAAAAGTACGATAAAGTAGCAATCATATCGATTTATAAAAGATTACTTATGTAATATTTTTGGCATTATTCGATAAATATTAAAAAAATGTGCAGTACATGTATCGCGTGGTATCTTTCCTACCAAGTCGATGTAATTGCTCCATCCATCGTTGCAAGTGGCCTGAAAATTGTCGTCACGCACTTTTCCGCGTACATTCACTCTTTGCTTAAATTGCCGTCAATTGCACAATAGCGGACACCGATAATCGCGTAACTTTCTAACAAGCGTTCGGATAAGGAACCTTTTGGATTCTATCTCGGAACCTTATAATCTGGCTCAATTGTACTAGTCAAGTAAAATAGTTATTTTCGCGCATGTTTTTGTCGCAATATGCAGATTTATTTAATACATTCTCTTACAAATACCTGAGATACATATTTGCCAGAATTAGGATTCGATGAGAAAATAAAAATGCAACACGACACTTTTATGTTCAAGTACTGTTCAATATTTTTGCGTGCTCAACATTTTTCCGCGCACGTGTAATTAACCCTCCTTTTAGTGTGCTAAAAAGTTTTACAGGTTTATTTGTAGATTCCAATGTACATTTGTAGATTCGAATGTTTGTATACGTGTATGTATGTATGTGTGAATGGATCGAAACGAGCATATCTAACATCCGGTCGTTCATTACCGGAATCGATCATGCGTTTCGGCGTGTTTTCTGAAAGATCTATCCTGAAGTAATCTCCGAGATTTTCTTCTCGCAGTGTTCCGACATCAGAGCATCTTGGGAATTTGCGTTTTTTTTAATCCTTTTGCCGATACTTCCACAGGATTTTCCGTCGGCAAGACTTCGTCTACCGCTTCTAGAATCTCGTCCATTGCCGATATGCTATCCATTTTTGCCTTTATCTCTTCTCGAGAATTGCTCTTGATTTTCTTTCTTGCCAAGTGATGATCTTTTTGTTTTTCATCTTTGTTCCTATCCGAAGGAAGGATTTGTAACGTTCTTCGAGAAGGAGTTTCTGGTTCGTGTATTACGTTTTTTCTCGACGATTTATGCAACGTGACGCGCGTTTTACCTCGTTTTTGTTTATCGATTCTTTTTGAAGTGCTCTGGTTACTGATGTTTTTGCCCGACAAAATTGCACGTACTTTCTTTGCCTTGTTAGATCGATTTCCATGATTTTCGTAACCATTCGCGAGCGATTTATCATGAGGAGTGCTTGCCAATTTGTTTGTTTTTGATATTTTTTGATTAACCAAATCAGCTTTAATTTCCATAGATTTGTTCGTTATAAACGTTTGATTGATTAAAGGAATTTCCATAGCATTGGAACTTTTATTCTCAAAATTATGGCTACTGATATTCTTTACTTGCGGACGATTCATAATTCGCATCTCAATTTTAGGCTCAAGCTCTTCATTTTTGTCTATACTTTCAGTTTTAAATTTATCAGTCTTATCAGTTTTATCAGGTTTAGGAAAATTTTTTATTTTTTTTTCATATAACGTCTTTGCTTTCTTACTCTCGATGTCTTCTTCACTTGAAACACCGTTTTTGCTTTTATCTCTTGAAAAATTATTCTGAGAATTTTTGCTTCTTTTTGAATATTGTTGTTGTTTCTCTTTGGTTAGATGTTCTAGAAAAAATTCTGCTTGTTTCTGTAAATTTAAGAGTTTCCATCTGAAGCTGTTATCAAAATCATCGTGCAACTGCAATTTTGCGTCCAGCAATCTGGTTAACCATGATAAGCTATTTTGAATCGACTTGGTGTATTCCAAGAGCAACTCGCTTTTTGAATTTAATTTTTCTCTTTCATGCGCAAGTTCGATGAGGAGAATCTCAGAAGGTGCATAAAGTTGAAATTCTCTATTCAAATTCGTGGAACTTTGATAATGAATCAAATCTTGATGAGTTATTTTTGTCCCATGTTCTCGTATTAACAATATTGCGCGTCGCAAGATTTCGTTGACGTCATCTACCTGTTAAAAATAAATAAATCGTTAATCCAAATATTTTAAGTCTGATAATATGTCTTGATAAATATTACTAAATTGAATTAAATTTGCGAAGAAATCTACTAAGTTGCTGATGTATGATCGTGATGCCATGTTCCTTGCAAAAGCATTATTACACGTAGTTTTGCAAAATATCTCCTTTGACAAAATATTTCCTTTGACATTTTTTCTTGTGCCAAAGATTTTGTTCGGGCTGACATTATTATTGGCATTATTCGAAAGTCTTTTGCCGAGATGTAACTCTGAAAATAAATACATTTTTAATACATTAATAAACAAATATTTTAGCTTCTTAAATTTTGATTATAATTTCATATGTGTGTTTTTATATTGAATATTATCTACAATATTGGACATATATTTTTCTCAGCGCGACTTTCGGCATATTTTTGTTAAATTATTACGCGAATGAGCAAAGAAAGTTTGAAGTGGATAGAAAAAGTAACTAAAAATAAGGATGAAATAATTAATATTTTCCATGAATTTAGGAAAAAAATTTTAATTCGTTTTTGTCTCATCTCACGTATACATATATGTATATCGAAAATAAAACCAACTCACCGGAATTCTGTTTATTATTATCTCTGTTGTTAGTCTCCTCTTCCGATTCCACGTCAGTTTGCGACTTTAGATTTGCTGCTTTTAATTTCGCGATTAATTCGTTGAGATCATCACTAAGTCTCGATTTATTTGCGTGCAAATTGATTGATATTGTGTCGTCATCGATCATTCGATATCGATCCATGGACTGGCAAGGAAGAGAGAGCTCCTCCTGCGAGCAACAGGATCGCGATGATACTAATCATCGTGCCACGGTGAGACTAAAGCGAGTTTCAGGTTCGCCCGATGATTTTATGGTTTGTGCCAGATAAAGATATCATCTGCAGTTATTCGCGATCTAACGGGTAGAAAAATCGCACTGGCAGTGCCTAGAGGGAAAAAAGATCGATTGATTTTCCAATCCTAATTGACGATTTCAGATTATATAAGTGTGATGTTTTTTATATTAATATTTATATAAATTGTACATAGTTTTCTGCGTTATTTTTCAAATGTGTCTAGATAAATTATTTGTTTTTTTTTATCTTTATTCAGATTATCTTTATTTAAATTATTAAAGGATATATTATTCTCATCATTATATTAAATAAAAAGTGTTTTCTTTAATTTATTTAAGATAATATTTAACGAGTTTAATCTATGTTAGTGTAAACATAGAATTTTGCTTTTGCATTATATCAGTATCTTTTTAATTGTAAACAAATGCATAATATGTTACCAAATAGAAATATCTCCAAACAATCAGAAATTATTTAAATGAAACATATATGTACAACATGTATGATTGAAAAAAATCATGTAAATACATTTAATACATATATTTTCTGGCTAAATCTAAAAATGGACATTTTGACGTTACAATAGATATAAATGGTAAACGTAGCGTTAAGTTTATTTTTGGCATTTCTCAAACAAACTCTCGAAAATTCAAGAGATTTTGCATATGTAGGCACCATTGTGCCACTCGGTAGTCGGCCACTAATCGTTTTCGCCAACGAGCGATCGTTACATTCGCACATATTTAATGATCAAAGTCGTGCGTGATTGTGACCAACGCTTTATTAACGATCCGCCACTTGCCATCCCGTATTGACTGATTGCAATTTACGGGGGAATCGTAAACGCCATTGTTCTTCAATGAGGCAGAAAACGCAAACAGATAAGGCGGATATAGATAAGACTTTCAAGTGGGAATGTCCATACGGGGAAGTTATTATTATGCGAAATTATTTATTGCGAGACTAACGAAGATTCATCTTCAATCTTAAAAGTTCATGCTCGATATCGAGTGTTGATTGTCAAAATATGGTAAGGATTAATCATTGCTGAAGTTTCTCTCTTTTCTCGCCCGAAACAGATACGGATTGTTGGGCGCAAGTGGATGCGGCAAGACGACACTTTTATCCTGCATCGTCGGAGTTAAGAATATCGATTCGGGTGACATATGGGTCCTGGGAGGAAAACCTGGCAGACCGGGCTCCGGAATTCCTGGACCTCGTGTGGGCTATATGCCGCAGGAGATCTCCTTGGTCGGGGAATTCACTGTGACCGGTGCTCTCTATTATTTCGGCAGGATCAACGGACTCGAAGACGAGGAGATCGGTAAGAATCAGTGTTGTGCTTAGATGATTTCAAAAGTAACTATAGGTAAAGATGAGATGAAAATATGGTAATTCGTCTTAGATAAGATAAAGATGATTTTGTTTTAAATATATCTAGATAAAAGATAAAATTATGTAGATAATTTCATCTGGATGACTTCCAAATGATATTTTTAAGACCATTTGTGTTAACACAGTTATCAAAAAATGTAAATTATAAAAAGGATATAAAAATATATTTATAAGTTTTTATCTCTTACGCTGCTTAAATATTTTCATGCCGTACGATCCTAAATCAAGTTATCTGAACATTATTCTAGAGATAATTTAGTAAAAATAACACTCTTTTTCATCTAAGATGCAGATATAGATAATACATATTTTAATTATCTATGTATATAAAAATAAGATGACGCCAAAACTTTATCTAGATGATCATTTATATAATTTTATTTAGATAACAGCAAACACTGAATTAAAAATGTAGAAGAATAGATCGCTGCGAACGATACATTGCATATTTGTCTGCGAGATTTTATAGCATGGTATAATATAAGATATATTTTGAAACACACAAGCTGCAATTATCCCTTTTTATGTTTCCAAGAGACGAGACAGAAATTTCTCTCGGAACTGCTTCAGCTGCCCCCAGCGAATCGTTTAATAAAAAATATGAGCGGAGGTCAACAGAGGAGAGTCTCCTTCGCTGCTGCGATGATCCACAGTCCCGAATTCCTGATTCTGGACGAACCCACCGTAGGCCTGGATCCAATTTTGAGTAACAAGCAAGTAGATTTTGTCTCTTTCTTTAAAGACCACATATGCATACCGGGAATAGCAGGGTTGGGGTAATAAAACTAGTTAATTAGTTAAAAATTAAAAAAAAGTTAATAAATTAATAACTTTTAACTTATTGTTAACTTAGTTAATTTAGAATATATTAATTTTAAACTTCAATTATTTTTTATCTTAAACTTATTAACTTTTTTCTAAGTTAAATTTTTTTTATCTCAGAATATCATTATTGTTTTTTTATAAGTTATAAATATTAATTTTTATGTTCATTTGTTATCACTTGTAATTACCAAAAAAATATTTGATATAAAAATCAAAATTTCCATGTTATTTATTATTTAAAAGAATTAACAAACAAAATTCTAATTTTATGATAAATGTCTTATTTTTTAAAATTAACTTTTGATTTGACTTTGGTTAATTTAATCTTAACTTAACTTTAACTGAGTTAATTTTTTGTTCATGCAAACTTTTAATTTAACTAAATTAATTTTATAAGCAACTAACTTTAATTTAACTTACAAGGAAACTAAATATTAGAACAATTCTGTAGCAATAAATAATTTATATATATGTAAATTGAGAATGATAAAATGTTTCAAATAAAAAAAATTAAGCCAATCAAGGAAGATCGATACATAAATAAAAACATATTTATAATTTATATTCAACAAACATGATGATTGTAAACAAAATGTCTTATACAAAAAATTTGTCTTGTTGATTTTCCTTGATTGGCACTAACTTCTTTTCTAGAAATATATTTTCTCATTCTCCATTTACATATATGTAAATTATTTATTGCTACAGAATTGTTCTATAATATTTTAAATATATAACAGATAAACGTTTCATTTTATAAATTTTAATTTTAATTTTACTTTTTATAAATTTTGATATTTATAAATATATAAATGGTTATAAATTTAAATATTTATATAATTATTAATTATATAATTATTAAATATTTATATAATTATTAATTATTAAATACCATTAATTATATTAAACACCCAACTAATGTGCTTTTTCTCTGTGCAGCATCTGGCTCTATCTGACCAAGATCACTCAGGAAGAAGGCATCACCGTGTTGATTACGACGCATTATATCCAAGAGGCTAAAGATTCTAATGTGGTAAATTTCATTCTCTATTTTAGTCTTATATTCTTTATCTTATTTTTCGTTTGAACATTTTTAATATATCTTTGACGCTACGCAGATCGGTTTGATGAGATGTGGTAAATTGTTAGCGGAATCGTCGCCTGCGGAATTGCTAGAGCAATTTCATTGCTCATCCTTGGAGGAGGCATTCCTAGGCCTGTGTCAGGCGCAAGATAGTACAATGCTTGCAAACGCTTCTGAGGTCCAAGGAATCCAAGATATAAAGATCGAAGAGGATCAAAACGTACATCAAAATGAAGATAGTTATAAACGAATGAAGGTATATATGAAACAATTTATATACTATTTTAATATTGCTATAAAAATATAATGTATATAAATCAGTAATATTTAAATTATTAAGAGCCGATTTAATATTCTTATTATTTAAATAAAAATCAATTATGTTAAGGGTCAAATTGCGGAGTTCAGAGCGAGATCGATATATAATGTCTCGGCATCGAGAAGATTCAAGGCTTTGATGATAAAAAACGGTGTACAATTTTTTCGTTTTTACTCGTAAGTATTTATCAATAATTAAATAATTTAATTATCTAATTATCTATAAATCATTATTATCTATATATTATTATTTATTATCTATTAATAATTTTCTAGTGGGGAAAATGCATTTGCATCTATAAGAAAAATTTTAACTTAACTATTCTAATCTCGATTTTTTTGAACATGCAACAAATACATGTTAAATATGAAATGTTACATTTCGAAAAATTCAATTTTATTGATTGTTATATGAGATTCACGTATGTTGTGTGACAAAGATAATAATAAACAATATATTTCTTCAGAGGTATAGTTTTTGCGCTATTATTTCCGCTGGCACAAGTCGGCTCATTTTTCGGCGGAGTCACTGATGATCTGAAAGATGTATCGATTGGCATCGTCAATGAGGAAGCTGGCAACTGCAAGAATAACATCGGTAACAACAGCATATGGTACGACCAAGAGAACTTCATCTGTCGCTTTAGTAATCTCAGCTGTAGATTTATTCACGAGTATGGCGACTCTATCGCGGAGCAGGTAAAGTGACTTGAAAATCGATCATATACAGGGCGAGTCATTTTAATTAACGCACGCAATTATTTCGGAAACAAAGCATTTTAGAGAAAAATGTTTCAGACAAAAGTTTTATGGTTTCGAGGGGGCCATAAGATGGTATCATTGGTTTAACATTGAAGAGTCATTTAAAGGTTACGTGAAGGTCATTTCAATTTTTTTAAATGGCACTCCCTATTTTTGATTGCATATTCTTGTAGCTTACCTCGAGAGCTTTCCAAAACACTATAGTCAAATGTTTTTTCGTGAAGTACTTTTTGAGTTATGAAGCCCCAAATTTGCAATATTTTGATTAAAATACAAAATATCTCGTAAAATATTCACTTTCTGATAGTTTTATCTTACATTATTCGATTAATCAAGGCAAGACCCAAGCATGGTCCAGTCAAGGCAAAACCCAAGTTTGCGTGCGTTACTTAAAATGATTCACCCTGTATATCGCCTTTTTTCCCTTAATTAGCATGTTTTCCTGCAAATTTATCTAGACATAAATCGATAATGATATTACAAATCAATTGCTGAAACACTGATGCATGTGTATTCTTCAAAGAAGCGTTGTGATATATGAAATCTAAAATGTATTAATATAAATAATATATATAAAAAGATATTTTTTTCATGTATAATACCTATTTTCGAGGAAGAAAAAATTAATATTTAAATTTTATTTGCAGAAATATTATGATAGCGTGTCTGCAGCATCTGAGGCTACACGCAATGGTGATCTCGTCGGCGTGATGCATTTCAACCACAATTTCTCCGAAGCTCTGCAGAATCGAATTCAAGACTTTTCAAATCCTGACTTAAACAACATTCTGTACGGTACAATTAATGTATATCTTGATATGGGTGGTACGTATATACTATATGATTTATGCTGTGTTTCATAATAAGATTTTAAGAAATTTTTAGATATTTAAAAATTTTTTTAAATTGTTTTAATTATTTCGAATAAAAAATGTAAAAAGCAAATTAAAACTATGTTAGATTCCAAATATCTTACGGCTTAATGAAAACTAATAAAAATGGTTTATTGACAGAATTACAAATATCAAAATTGACATTTTGTTACAGACATGCAAATTGGGTTATATATGGAGAAGAAGTTGTATGAACGTTTCACAGAGATTTTTGAAAATGTGATGAAAGACTGCGAGTATTCACCAAGAGTGGGCTCATTGCCTCTTCGAGTGAGTATATTTGTTATTATGTTGCAATTAAAATTTTTCTCATAGTAAAATAAATAGAATAAAAATAAAAGGACAAAATTTTTATCGATTTCAGTTCGATGCAGTTTATAGTAGTATGGACGATGGTTATAAATATTTTGTCGCGCCAGGTTTCATAATGATGTAAGCATGTTTACTCGCATATAAACATATGCAATCTAAATCAAAATCTAAAATACGATCGGTCATTATTTTGCTAAAATTGTTTATACTTTGTATAGATTGCTCTTTTTTCTGGCTACCACAATCTCCGCTACCTTGATAATTACAGATCGAGCAGAAGGTGTGTGGGATCGAAGTCTAGTTCAAGGTATATAATTAATTGTAATCAGATTTTTTTTCTAAAATTATTTCCCAGCAAACACCAAGTAACAATTGTTAACAGTTATATAATTGTTACTTAGTGTTTGCTGGGTTCTCAATTATTTTTTCAATTCTTATTTCTAATTATTTATCATGATTATTTATAATTATAATTATTATAAAATATAATATATATAATATATAATAATATAATACATTTATAATTATTTATGATAGGTGTCAAGAACAGCGAAATTCTGGTGGCTCATATTCTTACTCAGACCACACTAATAATCATCCACGTTACGATGATAATGACCCTATTCTTTCCTATATGGGATGTAGAATGTAAAGGATCATATTTCGATGTATTTTTGCTCATGTTTCTTGACGGCTTTGCTGGATTAATGTACGGTAAGTATTCTACACAATGTCTCGAAAGAAGCGACAACGATTAAGAAAAATGAGTAAAATTAATATTTCATTGGCGTTTTTTAATACATTCTCAGGTTTTTTCATCTCCGTTACATGCAAGAATCACACTATGGCAAATTATGCTTCGGCTGGAAGTTTCTTCCCCCTAATAGTAATGAGCGGTAAGGCTTCATTTTCTACTCCATTTCCACAATTGTGTTTTATTTTTATTTATTACTCTATTGTGTTACATTAAAAAGAGGGGCAGTGCATATTATTAAATTTAATGCTATTGCATTATATATATATTCATATAATTTTTTCTTTATACTATTAATAATATTATATGTGTGTATATATGCATATATATATATATATATATATATATATATACAAATATACACACACATATAATATTATTAATAGTATAAAGAAAAAATTAAGAAAAGTTCATCAAAGTATACATAATATAAACAATGTCTTTGTAGCAAAGAATTATTTATGTATATTAATCAAACTTTTTGATAATTTTATAAAATTGTAGCATCCATATGGCCAGCAGAAGGAATAGAAAGCGAGATTCGCTGGCTCAGTTATAGCATGCCGACGACCTGGCCGGCTATAGGCTTGAGAGCAATCATTTTCAAGGGTTATTCATTTGATGACGACGAAGTTATCTTTGGTATGCTAGTGAGTATCGCATACATATCGATTTTATTTATTATTATTTTATTCGCCTTAAGGTCGAAATCTTAAAACGATAGCATCTTTAGAAATATAAAGGAAATTTATTTGAAAAGAAGATAAATATGCCTTGCATATTAGAATAAACATTGATTCAGTTAGATGCAAGGTATTTTATCTGACTGCAACCAAAGTGTATTTATTAATTTGATGATATTAGAAAATATAAAAATATTTTATTTTTCTCTTTGAGTACTATTCTCAAAAAGATTATTCTCGAAAGAATAATATTACATTTATTGATAATATTTATTTATATTCCTATTATCATTATTCGTAATATTTATATCTTATTTTTGTAATTGAAGATTTTTATTCTTAATATGTATCTAATTATTATAAAAGTAATGTTAAATTTTAATAAAATATTGATGTTATTCTATTTGAAAAATTGTAAATATTTTTTAAGTTTAAAAATTTTAAAGTTTTGTCAAATGTACATTTTATTTCTTTGGATTAAAAAAAAGACTATTACACGTAGTTTTTTTTTATTTCTCTCTTGTATAGAAATAGAAATACTCTGTAGATTCCACTGCAATCATCTTATTAAGTAATAATAATTTTTTTAAAGAGTATACGTTATAATGTTATTTTTATCTGCTAATTAGAAAAAGATTTGATATTTCTTCATAAAAGTCAAATAAATTGTGTATATAAAAATATGTATATCAAATAAATACTGTATATAATAATATCAAATAATAATAAAAACGTAATTTTATAATATATATATATATATATATATATATATATATATTAAATATGTATATAGAATGACATGTAGTGTAAAGATGAAGGGCGGGGAAGATAATAAATAGAAAGACAGCTAAATAAAAAAGAAAAAAATTAACAGCGCAAATTTCATTAAACATGCTTCTCTGTTGACAATATATTAATCTTACATGTACAAATATACGCGTTGTTTTTCTATATACAAACATACAGCGTGCCACTTCGATTCGCTCTATTTAATTTGCACTTAATGCACTTTAATTATATATATATATAATTCTCTCTGTAATAATAATTATATCATTTTATAATATAATTATATATGACAATAATCCTGAGACAGAGAGATGCGTAATTTGGGCGATTATTATCGCAACGATATAAATATAATAATTATAATCAAACGCTACTTATATCACAAATTTGTCACTGTTAAACTACACAGTTATATAATACACAAAGTTCTCTGTTATTATTAATTTTATAATTATTATAATTATAATAATACGTCTCGTATATATTTTAAATAATACTTATAATACAGCAATTATAGAGTAACATGTCGATTAATATATAAATATATTAATTATCTTTTAAAGGTTATAAATAATTTTTTCTTCTGTATTTAAACTATATAACTTTTATTTCTTTCTCTTCTTTTTATAGTTTCTTTCATTTTGGAGCCTTTTTAAATTTCTTTGACGTTTTGACCACTTTTATTTTGGAAAGCTCGCGATGAGAAATCTAGAAATAAAAATAGATATCTAATCTATAATAGCAGTACAATTTAATGATTATTAAATCTCTATCACTTCAAACAGCTCATGCTTAGAAATCTATAAAAAAATAGATAGCCCCAATCTGATAGAATAACATATTAATAAACTCTAAACCTTTTCTCTTTTCAAAAGCTGATGTTTCAAAGATTTATAAAAAAATAGTTGATTTGAAAGCGGAATTAGATATAAGAATGATCGAGATACGTATTCCGCGTGTTCTTGAAACTTTCAGCGCACTCGTTGTTATTATTATTGTTGTTGCTGTTGTTGATGTTGCTGCTATTGCTGGCAGCTATGCTAATGTCCTGATTAAGATCATTAATAGCGCGATTAGAGTTTATAGCAGAAAGAAGAAGCCGGGGGCCGCAGGTTCGGATTGGTCGTGCAGCAACGAGACAGTCAACTACCTGTCTTATAGTAGGCATGCAGGTTTTGTCGTATCCTGGAAAACACACGTCACATGCTCCATCAGAACTGAAAAAATGCATACCGACTCGTCACGTCATTTTGGGTTTTAACTTTGAGATTTGCATTTATTATAGTCGCTTAATCGATATTTATCGCAAGAACTTTAAGCGGACAAGAAGTTCAGAATCAAATTTTATATTTCGCATATTTCATCATTGCAAAGCACGCAATGATGATTCGACTTTATTTAAAATTTTGTAATGTACTAAAATATCCAATATAATAATTTTCCACATTTCCAATATTTTATAATGATCATACACATTACATTTACAATAGCTTAAAAAAATCGTAGAAGAAATTTTTTCTCACGAAGGTAAAGTTCATTTTCTGCAAAATCTTATTTTAATTAATTCTTGATTATTGAAAAATGTTTATTTTATGAGAGCATTTCATAAAACTGAAATTTTTTTTAATATGATATTTAACCCAAAAAGACGGATCTCGTTATAACAAAATACACAGATCACCTAAACTCGAACTTTAATAAATGTATACGAACATCAGGGTCGCATGCATTTTCAAATTGAATGAAAGGGCAAACACAACACAAAAATAAGTAGAGCGAACAGAGAGAAGATCATAAAAATCTGTAAGCTGTTAAAAGATATCATAAGAACGCCAAGTATCGAGTCTGAAATGGAGGAAGATCATTTTTTCCTTTCAAATAATTATTGTTATCAGGCACAAATTGTCGATAATCGTGCAACCCTTTGGGACTCAATGTCGATTTAATTTCAACATTTAAAGATATTTTTACAATTTAGTGTTATTTGTTAATCAAGATGGGAATTATTTATCATCGTTGAAGCGAATGAAGACGCAATACTAAAGTGAAAGGGTACTCTTCGTCAAAACTTAATTCACATTAGCATTCTAAATACTTAGCGCTAATGCAATGGGCCTTTAAAAAATATCATTGTCAAAACATTGTTTAATGCGAATAGAGAGATATTAAGCAGATCAGAAGAAGGGGGACAAACACTATAAAGAAACTTTCAGACGATGAATAATGTCAACATTTGGAATAAGCTGATAATAACAATTGATTAATTAATAAACTACTAACCGCACTACTAATCCTGTAAAAAAATCCTTTGTTTTACATGTAACAAGAAGCCTGACAAGCTTATGATTGATACAATTTCTATTGGTAATATTTAACGATTTATATGCGGTTGAAGCTAAAAATGCACGCGAAATACCTCTTCGTTATAGAGAAAAAATGTTAGTAATAATACAATACTTAGCTGCACATACATACTCCGCATTTGCATGCAAAAAAAAAAATAAATAGACATACAGATACTGAGTAGAAATGTTGAAAAATGCAAAGGAGCTTATTAATGATTATTACGCCATAATACGGCTTGTTTCACAATTCTTGGCACATCTCTCGTTATTTCCACATATTTCGCATTTAAGATGTCCCGAAAAAACGTGAAAATTGATATATAAGTGTTTCTTGTCAAGTTAAAATTCATCTTTTTTTTTTTACAAAAATGACAAAATGTTTGACGTATATCTTCTTAATTTTCATTATTATCTAGTAAAATCATTAATTAAATTAATTTGTTATAATATTAAAAATTAAAAAATATGTGCCAAACATAGAATCGACATTTTTGTTAAAAAATGAATTTTAAATTTGACAAGTTACATTAAGAAACCAGTATATGCTAAATTATTAAATTATAAGTGATAAATATATCAAAGTTTTATATATTAAATGTACCTCAAAATTTAAACCATTAATTAAATTACACCTGAAAGAACACCTGGAAGAATCCACATGTAACGACACATCCAAGAAATAATAATTCCTTCATTTTTCGGGACGCTCTGTATAAATTCAGAGCAAAGCGTTATTCTTAAATCGATGTATCGCTTTGTCACTTATAGCTACAATTGTTCTGTGCAATATTGACTGTAAAATGTTACTAGGATTGTCTTGTTGTGTCATATGCAAGTCTTGCGTAAATCATCCAACAATTTCCCGATTGTTCATCGAGAATAACAGTTTCCATCGTTTTGGTCCTTTCTAGATACCGGGCTATCGATTTCAATATTTTAATAATAATCATGATAAAACTATTTTGCAATAATTGCATAATACTGTTACGGCGTAAATGTTTATGCAAAGCCGAGATGCCGACATAATATAACAAACTTACGTTTCGGCGCTATTATACTATTAATTTGACACTCATTTCTTTTTTCTCCTTTCGTTAAATTAATTATTAAGTATATAATGCACAATATATATAAGATTGCCATATATATTTTGCCATTATATGTAGCAAAATATATTTGAAAAATTTTTCATGCTATGACTTAATTATTAAGTAATTAATTAATCAATTTTGATCAACTTTATATGATATGCACAAAAAATGCATAAAATTATATTTATTATATGTTCAACCATCGTTGTTTCAAAAAACTATAGATGTAAAAATTAGTTATATTAGAATTTAGAAAAAGGAAAAAATCTTAACAATTTTATGATACACTGCTACACACATTTTTCCCTGTAAAATATATTGAAATATAATGATATATTCTTCTCTTTCTCTCTCTCTTTTGTTATAAACGTTTTATCGGTTTTTATCAAAGTAATTGTATACGTGCGGAAATACTTGTGTTTAAAAACCGATGAAACTTTCATAATATTATTTTAACTCCATTATTTAACATTTTATAATTTTTCTACGTCGCCTTGTATATATTTTGGGTTCTAAGTGACTACAGAAAAATTTTGCGCATTTTTTTCATACTTTTTTGTTCAGTGTTTACGTATTCCAAAAAAACCCAAGATTCTCTTTCTCCATAAAGATTGCTGTCACGTATTTATATCATTTAGTGCGAGACATGACATTTGCTGCTTCGCACATATCGAATTTCTCAACTAATTTCTAATATAAACGCGCGCGATGAATTAGTGCTTGAAATATATATTCCAGCAATCTACTCGTAAAATCCAGCCATTTATGAATATTCAACCAGTTATAAGGCAGTCTCCTTCTCGCTGATGACCTTGATTCCGTGTTGCGTAAGAATCATCTTCACCGCTTCTTTATCTCGAATATTTGACTTGTCGGCTGATCCTTCAGCTTTGTCTGGCTTTTCCGGATTTTTCGTCGAGTCTAAATGATCGGTGGACGAACTCAGACGGTCCACATCACCGGCCGATCTCTGCAGGGATTTGGACCTCTTCGAGTCCTTCGACATCTGCAAATTATCGGCGGATCCGATAAGCGTAGGATCCTTCGCGGTCTTGAGCGCCTTGTCGCCGGCCTTCGGAGACATCTTCGCCAACTGAAGACTGTCCACGGAAGAGTATCGTCTCTTATCCCGCGCGTTTCCATCTTCCTTCTTCCTGAACAGGGAACCCTTTCGGCTGACTCTTCTGGCTCCGCTCGTCAATATGGCAATCTCGTCCTTAGGTATAAAATATAACTCTCGCGGTTGATCCCTCGTCATCGAGGAATCGTGAATGAATAAGGACTGCGGCTTTGCCTTTCCGGAATCTTTCAGCCTCTCCTTCTCCGAGAGCCTACTTCGATCGTCAGCCGATTCGGTGCCGCTCTGAAAACCACAGTTCTCGATCTCGAAGTTGTCATCGTCGTCCTGATGCTGCTCCACGAGTTTGAAAGCGTATCTGTCTATCGGCATGGAATCCTGCTCGAAACTGCCGTCCACTTCGCCGCAGATTCTGCAGAGTTCACAGGGAATCTCCTGAATTTTTCCCTCAAGGTCATCGGCGGACTCCTGGAGGTTCATCGAGCTGCAGATGTCGCATTCGATCGAATCGTTGTCCTCATCGTCGTCAGCTAAGGAGCTACAGGTCGATCTCAGGGTGTAAAACGTTTCCTGATTCGGGCTGCTCACTTCCTCTTCCGTGCGGAAGGTGATCTCGTTCATGTAACAGCAGATCGAGCAAAACTCGTCTGGAATATCGAGCTGCGAAGCACTACTGTTCGTCTTCGTCGACGGGACCCCAAGAAACACCTCCTGGATACGTTTGATAGACTCGTAGCTCTTGGATTTCTTCGAAAACGCGTCGTCCTTCTTCGGCTTTTGCGCGGCAGATTCCTCGGACACGATCATCGAGTCCAAGCTACCCTGAAGAGGCACGTTGTAACGCCGCACCTTTCTCGTGTAGACATCCTTGATCTCGTTGAAGTCACGTTTCGTCCTGTTATCGGCGTCCTTCGTCGTTTTGATCGTTTCCTGTTGAGTTTTATCGTCGCTCAGTTTTACGGTCTTTTGTTCCTGAGTCTTCTTTGGACTCTTCATGGAAGACGTTCTCGAAGGATTCTTCTGGGAGAATTCTTCGGCTCGAGAGAATTCTCGATTGTTGGCAGGTCGAGTTGGCTTCTTCAATTCGACGTAGTTGTCGTGATCCATGTTGAGACTTTCCGTCTTCGTTGAAGGTTTCTTCGAAGAATCGTGGAAGACTGTCTCCAGTTGAGAAATAACACGATCGTTGATAGACCGATCATAATTTTTCATTTCGTCGCTTCTGTAAAATACCTGGCTTTGCTTGCCCTTTTTCGAATTCTTCGTACTGCCGGATGTCCTTGAAGACTTTAGGGAAGATTTCTCGGATCGAGATGTTTCTTGATCGTCGATGAATTTATCTCGATCCTTGATGTCGCGTTCGTCGATTTGAAACTCTCCAGCTTTCCTCGAACTTTTCATCGAAGCCGATCTTGAAGAACCCTGGAAGACTTTTTCCGCGCGAGACGTTTCTCGATCCTTGAATTCGTTGACTTGCTCGAGTTTTCTAGAACTCTTTTCCTTCACGGAAGTCGATCTTGAAGAGCCTTGGAAGACTTTGTCCGCGCGAGACGTCTCTCGGTTTTGAACAATCTTATCTTCTTCTTCTTCTACGTCAGCATCTATATCGTACATTTTTTCCTCTAATCTTTCGAAATTCTTCGCTTTTGCGGAAGAACTTTGCAATTCTTCGGATTCAAGAGTCTCCGGTTCATCAAGGAATGTATAAGTCTCTGTGATCTCAAAGTCACGAATTTGACCTACCCTGACCTTCCTTGGACTCTTGCGCGAGTTCACGATCGATTTAAGGTATTTCCCGTCTATTTCTAGACTAGAGTCGCAAGATGTTCGTTTCTCCGAAGCATCGAACTCGGATTCCGTTCTGCTCACCTTATCGATCTCTCGCGAGACCTTGGATACTTCTTCGGATCGTTTTCCGTTTTCAAGGCTAACCTTCTCGTCCACTTCTCTCTCGGTTTGAGACCATTCCACGATAAACTTCGGTCGGTCTAATTCTTCGGAAAATCTCGCATGATTATCAATCTCTTCGGATGTGAAATATTCAGATTCTCGATTCTTATGAACCATCGTATTGATTAATATTTGACTGCTATAAGTTTGAACATCGCTTTCTTTGGCACTAGTTTTATTATCGTTTGCTCGTTGATCATCAACGCCTTTTAAACTCGATCTCGCGATATATATAGATTCTTCCGTCTCTCCTTCCTCTTCGTTGTACCCATATTGATTAAGTCGATAGTCTTCCTTGTCTACGCTGAAATCGGAGAGTGCGCATTCGTGACGACCATCTAACGATGCGGAGATATTTAGTGATGAAGTGGTCGCCTTATCTTCAAGATGTTCGACTTTATCCAATTCAAGATTGGCTGTTTCCTTTCCGGAAGCGATTCCCGCGTCGTCGATTTCAATGTTATTCCCCTTCGTCTTCTCGGAATTAAGCTGGATTAGTTTTGTATCATCTTTACCTACCTTATCCAGCTGTAGATTTTCTTTAGCCTTATTTCTGTCCTCGTCAAGTTTACTTTTAAGCTCGTTCGTAAGTTTTTCTATCATTAGCTTACGATCTTCTTGTAATCCAACGATACTATTGGAATGAACAGGCTGAACCTTCACAACATTATCGGTATCGACTAAATCTAACTCTATATTCACTGTTTCTTGTTCAGTATTGATTTTTTTACCGCTAACGTCAACTTTCAACCTAGAACTCTTTTCCGATTTGCTAAAAGTAGATCGATCCGCACCTACTTCGCTATCGATCGTATCTAGGGTCGACCTATGTCTGTCTTTTAGGACAAAAGTGCCCTTATCATCTAATCCTAGCTCTACATTGATTATTTCCCTTTCAGAAGTAATTTTCCGATCGCAAATTTTAACTTTATCGTCCTCAGTACTTTCTCTTGTGGGCCAACAACATTCTCCCAACCGAAGTTCACTAGAACTAGGCTGAATCTTCATTATTATCTGACGATCGTCGTTCAAACCTAAGTCTACAACAGCAATTTCCGTCTTGGATCTCAAATGATCTGACACTTCTCTCTGTCCAATCTCAATTTTATCCCTGCCTATGCTTTCTATTAATAATTTACAATCTTCTATCGACACCGGTTCGCTGGAGCTCAACTGGCTAGCTTGAATCTGCATTATTATCTCGTTCGAACCTGAATCCTTAGATCTGAAATTCGACGCGACGCTATCTACTCTCGATTTGTGCGCTTCCTCGGACGAAGGATCGGACTGTAACTTCGCCATCGGTTCGTCAAGCGGACCTACCTCGTCTACGATTCGCATGACGCCGGTTTCGCTGGCGATGACCTGTTTCGCCTGACCGGGATACGCGGCTCTAGCTACATGCTTGACGTTACCGTTGCCGGCGTTGTTGCTGATCGCGTTAATGATGTGCTCGCGAATCTCGTCGAGCCCGCCAGCGTTCTGCAGATTTTTGCGCAGCACCACCGCGTCCGGCACGTCGATGGACGCGGCAATCTCGATCGGGCTCGGCGAGTCCATAATCACATCGCTGGGTGACGGCGTTAGGAACGCGGTTAGATATCGGGGATCTATGTGCAGATAATTGTTCGCGTTCGGCGATGGCAGTTCCAACTTACTTCAGTGTCCAATCGGCAGCGGCAGCGTGAAAAACACGACAATATTTTTTAGAGAATATTCAATCGGTTCAGCCGCACTTTCGTACGATATACAATTCAGTAGGGCGAACTCGTTACGATCTCATTATGTTTCTTTACTCGCAATTGTGAATTATATTAAATTGTTGCATGTAAAGTAGAAAATCTTGTGTCAACTAATTTGCAAATAATCTCCAAGGAAATAAATAAGTAATTAGAAACATTCAGTGTTCTTGACATTTTCATAATCTATCTTTATATTACCATTTAACGGAATTAAATTCTATTACTAATAAAATGTATTTTAATTTCAACTAAGAGGGATACACAAGTTTCTTTATATATCAGCAACTTTGATATACTTTGATTACTCATCACATCCTTCATATAATAGATAAAATAAAACAAATAAATAAATGGAATTGAGGGGTCGCAACGACTTCACACAACTACTAAAAAATTTTTGCTGTCTCCTCCGAATTCAATTCACTGACTTATATGTATTATCCTTGAAATCTTAATTCAAAATTAAATGAACAAAACTTTATTTCTTATTTTCATTGTCAATAATAAAGTCTTATATATTTCATCATCAATGTAATCGCAATAATTTTAATTTTTGTTTTCTCAGTGAATAGAATTATTTGAAGTCTATCTATTAATCTTAATAGAAACTTAATTATGATGTCATGTCAACCCTCAGTAGATACCATATGTTCTTGAGCTTTGAAAAAATTTATTGAAATTAAAAATATATTATACGAGAATAAATAGTTCAATAAATTACTTTTAGGTGGGCTTGTCATATATCTTTCATTGTTAATAACAGCAATATTTTTTATATTATATATTATAATATTATGTAATTTAGAAAATTTCATAAAATCTACTAGAGGGTTATACATACATATACATAAAATATATATATAAAATTTCTAACACTATTTTATCAAAAAAATGCAAAAAATAATTTTATGAGCTATACATATCAAATATCATTAAAAAATAAAAATAGAAATAAAATAACTTAAACATTAATTAAAATGACGATTCAACAACAAAAATACATACATATATATGGATAAAATGCCTAACAAGATTTATTTAAATTAAAATGCACATTCAGATAAATCTTAAGTTGATTGTAGTAAACAGAATGTAATTCTTTACAAGATTTTTTTGTACATTTAAACTAATTATAGTAAACAAAATATAAATTCTTCTTTATTAAGTATTGTACGTTTTGAAGGAAGACAGGCAAGACTAGATTAAGGAATATCGTACAGCGAAATATCGTACATAGTCCTGTCGAAATTTGGCAATATTACATTGCTGAATATTATGTATATTTATAAAATATTATATATATTATGTATAAATCGCGTCTTTAAGTATTTCATCTTTGTACAATCGCGATAGCTCATTTATAATTGATACTATGACATAAAAAAATAAGACGTAACATTTTTATAGATGGAACAATAAATAGACAATAAGTGATTCCTAATGAAAAATAATATAAATGAAATTAACACTGACGTTAAATAAATTGAAATTAAATAATATAGTTTTCAAAATCTAATAAGATTTTTTTAAGAGTTTCGTGATCTATTAGTTTTTATATCTTATATTTTTATAAATTTTAATTCCAATTTGTATTAGTATCCATTAATTTTGTGTTTAAATTATGTAACTGTAGTTGAAACCAGTTATTAAATTATTAGAGCTATTTCTATTATGTATAATTTTCATCGTATCTTTTTATATCATAGCAAATGCTAATGCAACAAAAATAAATAATACCTTCTTTACAAAATGTGTAAAAAAATTGTAACAATATAGTAATTATACAAATAATATCTACAGAAGCTATTATTAATTAAAATATCACAAACAAACGTATTTTCATTTAAAAAATCTAAACATGACATTCGAGACTCACATTGTTGTATTTGGCGTTCTCGCATCATAAATTTCATGCTTGTAGATATAATCGATGACTGAATCTTGAAGCAGATACTTAACGCTCTGGCTGCGCTTCAGAGCTCGTCTAATTCTTGTTGAGCTAACTTCATTTGGAATCCATTCGGTTACAATACAGATATTGTGCTGAAAATAAAAAAAGTGAAAAATTAATTTCGCGATAATCGGAAAGATTCGCCAAAATAAAAATAATTATTAGTCATAATACTTTTAATTATTTGTAAATTTTATCAATAGTTTTTTTTTATAACTGAGAATCTTTTTTTCTCGTATGTAATCCGATAATTATATTTGTTAACACAATGTAAATTCTACATTTGTTTCTTTTTGTTAAATTAATGTCTTAAAATTCTAGATATTTATTTAGAACATACCAAATAGTAACATGGAACAAGAAACCTATCAATACATCTAAGCAGTATCTTTTCACAGTAATATTCATAGTTTCTAATACTTATAAGACAAATATTCAATAAAAAATAATTTTTTAATATTACATATAAGAATATATTTTGTAGATGAAAAATATATTTAATATTTATTATATTTACCATATGCTTGGAGAGAATATCCGAATCATAAATAAACTTGTTGGGATTGCAACCTTCTCTGGTAATAACTACAAGACCATGTTCACCAACAATAGCGTCAATCTGCAATAAAAAAATTAATTTTTTTGTTTTATTTTAACTTTATAGTGCTACATGGAATAATTTGCAACTATAGAATTTATTTCTAAAATGTACTCAGTTATAGAGATAAAATTAATATTTCTCTCATTTAGAAAAAAAGTAAATTTTACATAATAAGATTGACAGAATGTCAGAAATTTTTAATTTAATAATTTTTAATATATTTTATACATAGCTCACATCTTCTTCGAGCCAAAGTCCGCAAATACCAAAACTTTCTAAAAGATCTGCACCGCACAGTAATTTGATTTGTATCGGTGTATTATCCGAACTGTTTTTCACATTCTCTGGAATCCATTCTGTGTCATCCATCTGCAAATGATGCTTGATATCATTGGAATTGCACAGCATGGAATTGAGCAGATTTTGATGGTGTTGCAAGCACAAGCGAGTCTTGGTCCAGCAATTCTGTCTAGTCTCCCATGTGCTAAGTCGAATCCAGTCATTATTCTGCAATGCTAATCGCAACATTGCGCATCTATGGGTTGCACTGGCCAGTTCCTTCTTGGCATACGCATCATTCACTGGAGAAATTACTCCACCGACAACAACATGCGTTCCCATTCGGTGCAAATGATCTCGAGCAATTTCTGAAATATATGTATATATAAATACTGCATATATGTACATGTATAAATATATTATACATTATATATATATATATATATATATATATATATATATATAATATAAAATTGAGAATTTATATTGCGTATTTACTGTGGTTATTTAAAAATAAGTATAAAGATTTTATCCAATAAGATATATTGAAAAAAGGAAATTTTTTGAAATATATATAGATAGATAACGCAAATAGATAGGTGAATAGGTCACATTACGCAAATGCGTTAATAACAATTCGTACGCGTGACAACGTGACGTCACACGCGATATGACGGAATATGACGCGATAACATTCGCAGTTCAATAAGAAATAGCGTTTATACGAACGGAGAAGACGGCAAATCTGGACGTATACGTACCGAACATTCGCAAATGCATATTCGTCGGTGGATTATAGCTGCCGCACGACATCAGAATTACACGCGTTGGCGCCATTTGCGCGCTCGTAACTCGAAATAGCATCGACGGCCGACCGCACCTCCGTCACCTTTGAATCGACCCGAGAAACTCCGGCCACGCACCGCGACAACAACTGACACCACAGATTAATAGACAGATCGCCAAAGATCTGGATGAAGGAGAGACCAGCATTTCTCACTGATTTCAGCGCCATATCGTAGTAGTGGTCAATGCAGTAACTATTAATACGTTCCCAAGATAAGAGCGTCTCATGCTCATGAACTCGTCCGGCGGCATGTACGAGATTTATCTTTTGGTAGCGTTCGCGTATTTCGGAAAGGACAGAATTTTATGATGTTATAAATAAATAAATAAATAAATAAATAAATAAATAAATAAATAAAATATTAACCTGACCTATTATAATTATTTTTTAATAAATGTTTCATTATTATTATCATCTAAGTCTAAGTCGTTTAATTAATTTTTAGTTTTTTAATAATTAATTTAATTTATTCTAATCATTTTAATATGTGAAAAATAGTAATACGTATACGTTTTATAATGAATTAATATATTTCGAGAGTCGAATTATATATTTTTAATAATATAAAAGTGTTCAAAAATTATATTTGACTTTTAATTTTAATTATTTTAGCAAAGAGTTCCGAAATCTCTTACACACATAATAGGGATTTTGTTCATCCATATAATTCGCAATTAAGTATATATGTTAATTATTAATTTTAATAAAATACAAAATTAAAATTAAAGGTCAAATATAATTTTTGAACATAAATATATTTAATTCGTTATAAAACGTATACCCGTGATAGTATTTTTCTCGTACAAAAATAACTAGAACAAATTAAATTACTCATAAAAAAATAAAAAAATAATTAAATAATTTATATTATATATGATAATAATAAAACATTTTATAAAAAAAACAGATTCAATAAATATAAGTATATATATAACATGTACTTATATTTATTGAATCTGTTTTTTAATAAAATGTTTTATAAGCTTAGAAAACTTGACTTTGACGTAACTAGCAAATTTTATTTAATTATTTCACGACGGTTTGACGTAATAAAATGTTTTATTATTATTATATAAAATATAAGTTTAAATTCTTTAATTAATTTTTAATCTTTTATGATTAATTTAATTTACTCTAATTATTTTTGTACGAGAAAAATACTATTATGGGTATACGTTTTATAATTAATTTAATATATTTGTGTTTAAAAATTATATTTGACCTTTAGTTTTAATTTTTATTTTATTAAAATTAATAATTAACATATATACTTAATTGCGAATTATATGGATGAAAAAAATCCCCATTATGTGTGTAAGAGATTTCGGAACTCTTTGCTATAAAATAATTAAAATTAAAAGTCAAATATAATTTTTGAACACTTTTATATTATTAAGAATATATAATTCGGTTCCCGAAATATATTAATTCATTATAAAACGTATACGTGATATTATTTTTCTCATATAAAAATGACTAGAATAAATTAAATTAATTATTAAAAAACTAAAAAGTAATTAAACGACTTAGACTTAGATGATAATAATAATGAAATATTTTATTAAAAAAAGATTCAATAACTAGTAGGTCAGGTTATAATTTTTTATTTATTTATTTATAACATTATGAGCTATTAAGCTCATCATCTCGTTCGCTCTCTGTCTTGCTTTCATTCGGCAAGTCACAAACGATATATGATACTCGTATGTTCCTACTTCAACTCTCGAGAATCTGAAACAAACGAAACTCGTGTCCAATATACAGGGTGTCCGGTAACTAACAGACCAATGATTACAAATGGATTCTTTGGTCAATTTGGGAACGATTTTTCCTCAGCGAAAATGTCGAAAAAGGTCATCATTTTTTACAACTTTCCAATCTTTGTCATTATGTATCTTTATAACTAAGTCTTAAATTAAAATTTTATTATAGTAAACTCTACCTGAAATTAACTGAAGAATGTAATTATGTTAGACTTTTAACTCCAAAACGTTTAGTTTTCAAAAAACCTATTTTTTTCAATCGCTTATAACTCGAAAATTATTGACTTCTCAACATTTTTGCTAAGGAAAAATCGTCTCCAAATTGGCCAGAGAATCCGCCCTTAATCATTGGTCCGTTAGTTACCGGACACCTTGTATATATTATATAAAAGTGTATAGCACGTCAGAAGCTTGTGAGCTTACAGCGATAAGTAAAAACAATTGCGTATTTATTTCATTGCGTTTATTTGTTTAAACGCGCGCTTTAATTTTTCCAACGTTTTTGCCTGTTTATATTTTAAAGGTCCTCTCTTCTAAAAATCTTGTTTTAAAGATCCTCTCCGCGAGCAAAATTCGAAAACATAAATTATTTAATATTTTTACTTTATTATTTGTAAATCCTCGGTAATTTCAAAATTTTTCTATTTGAAAATTATTAATTTTCTATTGCCAATTAATTTTATCACAGACTTTACTCTTACTCCCATTGCACTTTCGTTTGCGGTTTTCAGTATACGATTTTTTATCGTAGTTACTGAAAATTATTATTGTGAATTATACTTGTGCAGTGATTTGAAGAATTTACAATTTCGTTGAAATTGTTGATTTTTCAAAAAAATTACGAGATTCGCGGAAATTGCGTGCTTTCTTGGCATTTTCTGTTCGCGGCAGGCGGTTTATTTTTGATTGTTGCAAGTGTTTTTGTTTTTTTTTTTTATTAAAATAGATAATAATAATGTGAAATAAATCACGATATTTGACAGATGTGCATATATATAGAAATTGTAATAATAATAATATTATATCATAAAATTGTAAATTGTTTCAATTTTTTATAGACTGCGATAAAAGATTTTACATTTGGATAAAAAACTGCGGTAAGTAAAAATATAAAATTCTTGAAAACGTAAAAATATTTGATAACGTAAAAAGGTGAACTTTGAAAAATAAGGAACTTAAAAATTGCACTAATAAATGGGCTATATATATGTGAGCCGTGCGCGGATGTATAAGGTGTGTTATATCGAAATTTAATTAATAGAATTGAGAATTAATCCCAATTTTAAGTCTTACAAATGTCCAAGCTAATTTTTTGTACCTCGTGTACATTTTTGAAAGTTATATCGAAAAATTAAATTTCAATATGCGTCTTACATCTCACATTTCGCATACGGCTCACATATAGCCTATTTATCTCTTATACTTTATTTCAACCCTTATAGAAATTTATTACTAGTAACGCCAATTTATCACTTATTTCGAGTAATTAATCACTTTTATTTCGAATACTTAAATTACTGTATATTATAGTATTTTAAATACTCAAAATAAGTGATTAATTGGCGTAGTGATAAATTTCTACAAGAGAATAAGGAGCCTTTAAATTCTTAATGTAAAAAATTTCAAGTAATTTTCTTTAATAAAATTTAATTAAAAAATTTAATTAAAAAATTTTTGAACACTGTGTTATATCACATTTAAAATCGTGATTATTTCAATAAAAAAACATTTTATGTGTAAAAAATATATTTTTTATATTTAATAAATTTTATATATATATATGCATATATGTAAATATTCTCTCTCTCTCTCTCTCTCTCTCTCTCTCTCTCTCTCTCTCTCTCTCTCTCTCTCTCTCTCTCTCTCACACACACACACACACAACGGGGGCCAAATCTCTCAAATTGGTCTCATGATCAATTAGCCTGGATTCGCACCAGGGGCAAAGTCTGTTGGTAATGTCAAACGAATTTAGCCTGGACTTGCACCAGGGGCAAAGTCTTTTGGTCGAGTCTACGAAATTTAGCACGGACTCGAACCAGGGGCAAAGTCTTTTGGTTCAAGTCTACGAAATTTAGCACGGACTCGAACCAGGGGCAAAGTGTGTCGGTAAGGGGCAAAGTCTATCGCACGAAGATGGCGGTCTCTTCTTTAGGCAGGCCTTTGGCGATCTGTGGTCGCGCAGCCTACTGACACTGACCGCGTTCGCGATGTTGCGCGTCGATCGCCGCCATCTTATCTCAACTGTCATCGCTGGCCAATCAGCTGTTTGCATCGGCGCGCCATCTGACGCAAACCGCACGACTCGCCCGTCATTTCTGACGACCAATGAGAACACGCGCTTCCTAGAGATATTTTCTACAACACTGTTGTTCCTAGGAAATAAACTTCTCCATTGGCTTCCCTAAATATGAAATTAGACTCGAATAAATGTCGATTTTGACATTAAAATGTGTGGGAAGATCATTTTCTCTGGTGCAGTTTGAATTTTTTTGACATAAAGAAGATTGAGAGAATTACGTACGACTTTGCGCACAAACAACGCAGTGAAAGACGGTAAGCGATATATGATAAGTCACTTATTATTCGCTGTATATTTGTTTTCGTAGAAGCGAACAGTAATTATAACCATTTGCGTAAGACATGGTCTTTCAGTTTTTATAAGCGCAAGACGCATTTTGAACTTTTTTGTTAAACGATTCACAATTTGCATTTAAATATACTGATTTTATTCATAAAATAATTTATGAAGTAATATATCAATTCACCAGTTTTTTTATATTTTTGTAAAATTGTTATAACTTATAAGCTCCAATGATGAGTGATTTCATAAAAACTGATGTATATATTTTTATTAAAGAATATGAACACGTGTCATTTTTAAAAACGCATTTTTCTAATCGTAAATAAATTTTCAATATTTTTACGATAAGTTCCTGCAATATATAAACTTTATAAAAAAATATTCAATAAAATTTAAACGTTTAAAATTCGATATTTCAACATTTAATACAATAGTCAACTTTTTTCTACTTTCGAATATAAATATTTACTTATTCTACGGAGATGAGAAAAGGGATTGGTTCAGTAATACACAAATCTAACTTTATTCACATTTTTTTGTTGTTTTCTTTTCCGCTGAATCATCGAAGAAATAATCTTGAGAGAACAGAACCTCTGCGATACGAATAGCAATTACAGGTAAATTTTTTATGTACAATAATATATAAGTGATGGTTGCCCTTCTTTTTTTCTTCCTCTTTCTCAATAGTCGTTTGCTCAACGACAGTCAACCAATTAGCACATTTTAACCGTATAATAATTCGCAATAATCAATCTAATCTCTCCCACGCATCCATCTCCATTCTCAAGCATT